CTGTCCTAACATTTTGAAAATTTTTTTCAATAATGAATGGCAGAGGTATATTTAGGAATGATTTCACATGTAGGAAATCTACTACATGCTGTTAATGTATAGTTATAATCAGAAGAATCTAAACAAAGATTCACAAAATTATGGTGCAGATGTGTTCATCTTTACAGTTAAAAATTGACAATAAATTTTATGGCGCCATTGCTAAAACTTAATTATATTTTATTTGAGATTTAAATAAGAGAACTAAATATTTACCGTCGTTATTGAGATATTTATAAAATTCCTGGCATGACATATTATATATTTGTTTAAAGAATATTCTGATTGCAACTGAATATAAACTGCATGAAGTAGATTTCCTACATGTGAAAAAATCCCAAATATGCTTCTGCCATTTCGTACTCGAAAAAATTTTTCGAAATTTGGGACAGTTTTTAAAATCTTTATTTAAAAAGTATTTTTTTAAGGGTTTGTAAAATTTTAAAATTTTATCGATGGCATGTATTAGCGATAACCACCTGATAGGTTTCATGTCGCGACATCTCACACCATTCCAAGTCAGACCACTCCACCAACTCTTTTAATTCATTAATTCTTTTAGTTGATTAACTAAATTCGTTAAAACATTTCATCACATTTCGACATCCACAGATAGTACATTCATTGCCTTCTTTCAAGAATTATGAGCATATACAGCCAATTGGTATTAATTCATTCTTGTGCTGTCTCAATTCAGTAACTTTGGTTTTAGCCAAAATTTACAGAGACATTATCAGCGCAAAAAGCTGACATGCAAATCATTGATAACCCTGAATCAGCTATATTTACCATTATGTGGCTAACTACATCGTTGGATTTTTCACTATCCCAAAAAATTTTTTTAACAGTTTTATTGAAATGTTCTTATTCTTGTTGAAATAGCGAAGGATCGAGGGAAATGTTTTAATATTTCCCTTATTAGATCCATCTGTTAGAATTGCATATGGATGCCCATCTTTCAAATCGTCTAGAATTTACCTCTAGGATTCAGGTACTAAAACACTTATGATAGCCTTGCTCATTTTTGTCTCTGCCACATGTAAGGTTTGCACTTATATTGGAGTCTTAAAACATCATGAGAAAAAGATTCGACCCACATTGTGATGATATAGCTCTGTGAATGTTGAACTACATGATAGATGTATACGATTTCCGCAAATGTAGTTGCATCTGTATTATTTATTATTTTTGAGAATATTTTTGTATTGCAATCGATTTTGATATACTCCCCTGTACTGACCTATATGAATGAAATGATGTTGATTTATTATTGGATAAAAATAAAACAGGATAGAAAGAAATTTACAAATTAGACTTGTTTTTCGATTAAATATTTAAAAATTATTTTAAAAATATAAAAATAATCAATTAATGTCTCTCATATATATTAAAAACGTTAAAATACTTTTTAAAAAAAATTGCGGGAGAAATTAAAAAATTGCTGTCGATTTTTGCATGAGATTTCCAATTGCGGTAGTTTTGCGGGAGAGAGATGTCTGCGTGTAAACTAAAAAATTGTATGAGTCTCCCGCTGATGGGGGAAGACATAGCAACCCTGACCGCAATTAGAAATCTACCGCGTGTGTGTGTATAACCTTATAGGGATTTAATTATCACATATCACGTTTAAATAATAAGGTACTTTAAAACTAAGAAATATATGCAACTATAGTTGCGGCAATTGTAAACACTTATCTTGTAGTACAACATTGCAAGGTTATCATCAATGTTTTAGGACCTAAATCCAGGTGATCAATTCTTGACGATTTGAAAAATGGGAATACATATGCAATTCTAACAGATGCATCTAATAAGCGAAATACTAAAATATTTCCCTTGATCCTCCGTTATTTCAACAAAATTAAGGTCGTTTCAATAAAACTATTAAATTTTTTCCCCTCAAATAGTGAAAAGTCCTAAGATATAGCTAACCATATAATGGTAAATATAGCGAGATTATAAATAAATTGCATGTCACCTTTCTGATCTGATAATGCCTCAATGAATTTGGTAAAAACAAAGTGTATTTACAGAATTGAGTCAGCACAATTTTGGTCGCGATATGTTCCTAATACCACCCATCGATAGAATTTTAAAATTTTATAAACCTTTAAAAAAATATTTCTTAAATAAAGATTATAAAAGCTGTCCTAACATTTGAAAATTATTTTCAATAATGAATGGCAGAGGTATGTTTAAGAATGATTTGACATGTAGGAAATCTACTACTACATGCTGTTAATGTGTAATTGCAATCAGAAGAATCTTAACAAAGATTCACAAAATTATGCTGCAAATGTATTCATCTTTACAGTTAAAAATTGACAATAAATTTTATGGCGCCATTGCTAAAACCTAATTATATTTTATTTGAAATCTAAATAATAGAACTATACCGTCGTTATCGAGATATTTATAAAATCCCTAGCATGACATATTATATATTTGCTCGGCCTCTAATGTTAAAGCAATACGATTTCTCTCCTTTTTCCAGGCAGTCCTTATCAGGCTAAAAATGCGCTCGGATGAGGCATTAGAATGAGGTAAGGAGAAGAAATACTCGCATATTTTTTCCAAGCATGGGGATTTATCGTTATTGCGAAAAAATTCTACCCATTTCTCCTCTGTTTTTAGACCATCTAACTTAAAGTATTTTGGCGAATCATAAAAATAGAGAGAATTACAATCTCCTCAAACAAGAAATCAATGTCTTTCAGTATTTATAATATATTTATTAAATTATAAAAACCATCAATTGATGGTTTCTGTTCCAAGGTCATAATAATTATACATTTGTATATAGAGTTATTAAATCAAATTTTGATTGTAAATATTCTAAAATTGTCTTAATAAAAATATCTGCTTCATTTAAAAATGTTTTAATTAGAGTATTATTTGAACATTTTAATATAATATTTTTAGCAATAGCGCCTAAAAATTTATTATCAATTTTTAACTGTAGAGATGAACAGAGTTGTAGCATGATTTTGTGTATCTTTTTTAATAAAGAATATTCTAATTGCAACTGAATATTAACTACATGAAGTAGATTTCCTACATGTGAAACGAATCCCAAATATGCTTCTGCCATTTCATATTCGAATAAATTTTTCAAAATTTTAGGACAGCTTTTAAAATCTTTATTTAAAATAAGTATTTTTTTAAGGGTTTATAAAATTTTAAAATTCTATCTATGGCAGGTATTAATGACAACCACCTGATAGGTATAGATAAATTTCGTAGCTTAGAAATGACATCCCGGTCACCGACAGGCTTGGACTGCCGGACCAACTCTTTTAGTTTATGAACTAAATTCGTTAAAACATTTCATCACAATTATTTCGACATCAACAGATAGTATACATTTATTGCCCTCTTACAAGAATTATGTAGTATATGGCATATACAGCCAATTGGTATTAATTCATTAATGTGCTGCCTCAATTCGGTAACTTTGGTTTTTGCCAATATTTACAGAGGCATTATCAGCGCAGAAAGCTGACATGCAAATCATTGATAACCCTGAATCAGCTATATTTACCATTATGTTGCTAGCTACATCGTTGGATTTTTCACTATCCAAGGAAAATTTTTTAACAGTTTTATTGAAATGTTCTTATTCATGTTGAAATAGCGAAGGATCGAGGGAAATGTTTTAATATTTCCCTTATTAGATGCATCTGTTAGAATTGCATATGGATGCCCATCTTTCAAATCGTCTAGAATTTACCTCTAGGATTCAGGTACTAAAACACTTATGATAGCCTTACTCATTTTTGTTCTGCTACAAGTAAGGTTTGCACTTATATTGGAGTCTTTAAATATCATGAGAAAAAGATTCGATTCACATTGTGATGATATAGCTCTGTGAATGTTGAACTACATGATAGATGTATACGATTTCCGCAAATGTAGTTGAATCTGTATTATTTATTATTTTTGAGAATATTTTTGTATTGCAATGCAATCGATTTTGATATACTCCCTGTACTGACCTATATGAATGAAATGATGTTGATTTATTATTGGATAAAAATAAAACAGGATTGAAAGAAATTTACAAACTAGACATGTTTTTAGAATAAATATTTAAAATATATTTTAAAAATATATAAATAATCAATTAATGTCTCTCAAAATTATTATTTATATATTGAAAATGTTTAATACTAAAAAAAAATTGCGGGAGATTTCCAATTGCGGTAGTTTTGCGGGAGAGATGTTTGCGTGTAAACTAAAAAATTGCGGGAGTCTCCCGCTGATGGGGGGAGACATGGCAACCCTGTCTTAGATACAAATATTGGTGGTACTTCCCATACATTGCATATTAAATATATCAATTTTAAATTATTCAATTATTAATTATATCATTTATATTTCGAATTGCCTATTATTTTGTTACCATATTTTGTTGTACTAATGCATATTCTTAATTGATCATAATTCCTTATTGTGGCCCTTATTTAATAATTAGATTTAAACTATATTTTATTTTATAATTCTATTCTTCATTTATAATATTACATTTTATTTTATAATTAATTATCTTTCTATTACATTTTTTTATTTTCTATATAAAATTTTTGCTTTTAATATCAATTTAGGATATTAATCTGAATAATAAATCAACAAAATTAACAGAGCCATATTAAGAATTTTATCAAAATGGTAAATAAAAATTAAATAAATCAAATGTCATTTGAAATGTTTTAAATGATATCTATATTTGTGTACTGCAACACAGTTATTTATTAGCAACTTTTATTATAATTGGATTAAATATTTAACAGAAATTTATCCACAGCCTTACATTTGAATATAAAATCTTTTAATATTATTTTTTATATCTTATATAATTAAGCTTTAAACTTTTTAAATTTCTGCATTACATAATATATATTATATTTATCAATATTCAATTCATATATTTTATATTATTAAAAATTGATTTAGATTTTAACATATTGATAACTTGGTTAATTTTTTTTGATTCGAGAAAGCCATTGAACAAGATAGTAACCTTTCATAAAATGAGCAGATTTAATAGAGAAAGGAGAGCTCCACCTGCAGACTTATCCAAAATGGTTTCTTTAAAAATTGGTAACCTTTCTTTTAAAACCGAAGAAGAAGATTTAAAACGAATATTTAACAAATATGGTGATATAGGAGACGTGTACATTCCCAAAGATCACACAAGTAAACGTAGCCGGGGGTTTGCATTTATCAGGTATTATTCTCAAAGAGACGCTGATAAAGCCATTAAGGACATGGATCAACGTAAACTTGATGGTCGTACTATTAAAGTAGGTCTAGCTAAATATGGGCCACCAGCAGCAAATGAAGACAGGAATAGGCGCAATGGTAGGGGTGACAGGGATAGGAGTCGCAGTCGTAGTTTTAATAATAGGAGAGGAGGTGGGGATAATTTTAAAAGAGATAGAGATAATGGTAGGAGAAATCACAGCCGTTCCCCTTCATATGGAAGGAGCAGAGGTAATAGAAGGAGTCCTAGTAGAGATAGAAGAGAGGAAAACAGTGCTTTTGGATTTTTCCCACTAAGAGGCAGATCACCAGATAGAAGGAGATCCCCACTTCCAACATTATCTGCCTTAGAGAATTTGACTCATAATAATGGATTTATGACACATCCAAGGTCACCACCTTATAATAATCGCAGGGATGATTTAGGAGGCCATTATGGAGATAATGGATATAACAATTACAGAGATAGAAATATTGGTGGAAGAGGTGATACATTCTACAATGATGATAGAAGGGGAAGGTAACTTATCTCATCTTAAAATAATTGTTTTTTATACCTTATTTAAATATTCAAAAGTATATTTATTTTTGTAATATATTTGTTTTTTTTATCACCACCTACATGTTGGATAATTTCAATAACCAAATGATATAGAAGAGATGACTTACAAGGTCAGGATGATAACTATTTTCAAAGGAGAGCATGGTGAAAAAACTAGTTTATGTTGACATGCTAAAATTATAATATACTATAATATGAATATGTAAATTAAATTGATATTTTTGATCTTTTGTCTAATTTTATAAGTAGATATAATTGTTAATACATTGGGAAATATGTTTCTAATTTGTATATTATATTTAAATTTTAATAAAATAGTAATTGGTGACATTTGGAGTAATTTATTACTTAGTACTATCACTTTAATGATGGTGATTTTTTGGGTGTATTAGGCATAGATTGGAGTATTCAAACAATGACTAGGTGTTGGAGAGTTAACTTTATTCTGACATGTTTTTACATCAAATAATATACAATCGCAGAGATATAAGCATTAATATGAATTTTAAATCTTAGTAAAATTATATTTGGAGTTATTAGTACCAGTTAAATGGTGGTGATTTTGGGGAGCCCAGGCATAAGCTGGAGTTTTCATATAATTGAATGCTGGAGTTTGCTTCATCTCAACTTTTATTCAGTTATACATCAAATTATGCATCTTAGTTATTACAACATTAGGTTTTGAAAATGGGGGAGATAATTGTGAAGTGTGTTAATTACATTTTAGGATTTCACAAATTATTATCAAGAATTTAAATATTTATAAAGTGAATTATATTACCTGCTTAGTTTTTTTATATCGAAAGTTGAGAATAAAAAATTGCTAAAATCTCTGCAAAAAGGCTTCTCAATTTGGCATCAGATGCATAGAAATATAATTCAACATTATTAAATACAATTTAATCTGAGCATATTGGGAAGGATGAGGGAGAACTTGTAAATTCTATGAACATGTGCTGGTGTAACATTCGTATAAAAGCTTTTCATAGGAAAATATATAAAATAATCAGCCCCTCACCATGTTTGCAGGTAAAATATATAAATTTTTTTAAATGCTTTTTTTTATTATAAACTATGGCTAAAAATTTACATCAAGTCATTATATCAATCCAATTTAAAAAAAATTAGTATTTATTATGGGCAATTTGTGAATCACTATTGAGTGTTTTAGAAATGATACCCTAATATAATTACCTAATTTTATATGAACTCAGTGGCCCCTACACTTTCTGAGTGAATAAAGCAGAATACTTCTTTGAAAAGTACCCCCCCCCCCCCTCGAAAAAATGATAATTATTTTATGACACCCATAAATTTCAAAAATAATTTTTTTTGCATCAATTTTTAATATATATAAATAAAATGCAAAAAATATATACTTTATAAATATTATTTTTAAATTAGTAATTTAGATAAATTAGGGAAAGAGTAAGCAAAAGAATTTATAATTTCATCAATATTTAATTGTTTAAATAAATTTTTTCCCATTGATAATATGGTTAAATTATTGAGAAATGAATCTTTCATGGTACTAATAAGTCTTGTTTTAATTAAATTAATTTTACTCATGACTCTTTCGGCAGTACATGAGGTTGTAGGAATGGTTAATAAATATTTATATAAAATTCTTAAATTAGGGAAAGCAGAAAAATTTAAAAGTAGACGACAATGTAAAATAAATGAATAGTTTTTCCAATCTGAATCGTAAGTACCTGATTTATCATCATCAGAAGAAGAAGCTAAATAATGTATTGGTAAAAATATTTTAATAAATAAATTTACAATTATCAGAATCTGACAAATCTTTAGATTCTTGAACCTCTAGCTTATGAGTAATAATTACATTCCCTATTTTGGCCATCTTATAAATATTTCTAAACTTCAACATTTCTTCGAAAATTTGACTTGAATTTAAATTGTAAAATTCACAGATATCCTCTATATCTTCTTTAATAATTGATTTTTCTGCCACATTATTTGGCATAAAAAATGATGTTTGATGTAAAAATTTCATCGAATCATTAAATCTTTCGTTAAACTGCATAATAATTAAATTGAGTGCAGCATATAACACCTATTTTAAAGCTAAAAAAAATTTCTATATTTAATGATGAAAGTATATATACCTCCTCTCCTTTTTGGATTGTAATGTTTGAAGTTTAGAACTTTTAAAATCAAAAGGTAGATTTCTCTTCTTCATAAAATCTTGTGCCTTTGGAAAAACATTCAAAAATTCAGTGTTATTATCTATTAGATTTAAAAATAATTAAGACAATAATTTATATTATACTTCTCAAATTAATCAAGCAATCTTTTGCCAATTGAATTTGATTTATTGCAAACCCTATATCCTTCGAAATGGTTTGCAATTTTGTACAAGCCAAACTTGTTATCAACAATATTTTATCCAAAACACTAAGTGATAAGATAAAATCAAAATTTTCTATTTTAAAGACTATAGCACTATCCATAGTGGAAGTGGCAGGATCTTTAGAATCCTTTAAATTTGTTAAAGCTGCCCTCAAGGCAAGAAAAAAAATTTACAATAGCTTTATATGACGATAGCCAGCTTCTAAATAAAAAAACATTTTAAATATAAATAAATAAGGTACTATTACCGTACCGAGTAGTATTTTTGATGCGTAGAAATCGTTGCGATTTTTTCAGATCATTACACTAAAAATTTTTATGAGATACATCTCATATCTTTTTTTACCATTAAAATAGATATAAATCTCATCTAGTATTCCTAGAATATTTCGAAGTTCTTTAATTGATTGGAATAATTGAACAATGATTAAATTTAATCAATGACAATAACACCAAATAAAAGCTGCCTTTGGCGCCTCTGCTCTAATCAAGGCCTGCACACCATTGATTCTTCCACTCATGTTTGAGGCGCCATCATAACTTTGCCCAACTAGGAATTCAAGGGGTAAATTCATCGAGCCAAGTTTGGACATTATATTATGCCTAATATCGAGACCTGTGGTATTTCCCGTACAATATATGTCAATCAGTCTTTCAACAGGCTTTGGCGTCTCACTATTTTCAATCTTAGTCAAAGCTATTGCTTCTGATTTCGAAACATCATATGTGCCATCAACTATGATTAAAAAGCACCTGTTAAATTCAATCTCATTTTGAATTTTTTTTATAACCATATTTTTCATGGTTTAATGAGAATATTTATGTTATTATATGTATAGATTTGCATATGATTTCGTTTTTAATCCCTTATTGTTTTTCTCCCAGTACAGGTTCAGAATCTGCAATGAGTTTAATAAGGCCCGTCATATTGCCTTCTTGTAACCTGTTCCCCAGAAGGCTTGGTTACGAGATATTAAATAACCTAGACATCTTATTAATATTCTTATGTTAGAACGGTTATTATCCACACATTCTTTCTGGGGTATTATAAATTCTAATATGGAATTTTTGTTGTGTGAAAGCTTTCCATAATCGGTCTGTGTTCATGCACAATAATATCACTATTAAATTTCATGATCATTAAAAGAGTCAGATATTATATTTTTTTCTTACACATTCTATTATTTTTGGTTAATATTTTTAGGCATATTTTGAAATTGGAAAAATAATTTATGACAAGAAATCTCGGATAACAACCTAATTTACTAAACATCGATCTAAAATTTCCGTCAATACATATTAAATTAATAAATAAGTGGGGGGGGGGGGTCATATTATTACATACATAAACCAGAAATCATTTGATTATGGATGGATGTAGCAAAACAATAAAAAAAAATTTTTTAGATATTAAAATAAAATTTTTTTTAAAAAAATTACCCCCACTCAAAATTTTTAAATAAAAAAAAGTACCCCCACTCAAATTTACTGAAGCTTCGGACCCCCCCCCCCGTTGTAGGGGCCACTGTATGAACTTGCCACCCTGCTTAAGATTATTACCAAAAAAATTAATTTGAACATGCTTAAAATATTTCAAATTTAGCAAAAGCTTCCTTTAGCCAAAATATATTTCACACTTTTCAGTCTACCCCATTATTGTCATTATTTTATATCCATTTATTCTATTAATAATTTAGTTTCGTTTCATTTGTTAAATTATAAAATAAGGGCATGACTAAAATACATGCCCACTGTTATAGAAACTTAATTTAAATTATATTAATATAGAATCGTATTTTGCTTCATAGGATGAGTTAGAAAATGTTTTTTTTTTATTTAAAAAAATGGTAACAGTAAAATTAAATTTTTTTTTTATATATGATTAAACTACGCGCCCCTTATCAAAGAAGCTTAATTTATAAAAATGAACGCAGAATCATATATAGCTTATTAAAAGGAATCAAAAAATGTTAATATTATATTTTAAAACTTTTTATAACCTAGTGGGCTTTTGAAAAACAAAATTTTTTTTTGACTACGCGCCCTCTATCAAACACAAAAAATTAGAGCATAATCGTATTAAGCTCATTAAAAGGAATCAAAAAATGTTAATATTAAGTTTATAAATTATTCATAACTTATAGGTATTTTGAAAAAACATTTAATTTCTTTTTTTTGACTAAACTACGCGCCCTCGGTAAATATATACATTATTTTTAAAAAATGAATACAGAATCATGTATAACATTTCAAGGAGATTCAGGTAAATATATGCATTATTTTTAAAAAATGAATACAGAATCATGTATAACATTTCAAGGAGATACAGAAAATGGTATAATTTTATTTTTTTTGGACTAAACTACGCGCCCCCTATCAAAGAAGCTTAATTCATAAAAAATTAAAACAATCGTATTAAGCTCATTTAAAGGAATCAAAAAATGTAAATATTATATTTTAAAACTTTTTATAACCTAGTGGGCTTTTGAAAACACCTAATTTCTTTTTTTGACTAAACTTCGCGCCCCTACGCGCTCCCGGTCAAGATACATTATTTAAAAAAAAATGAATACAGAATCATGTTTAGCTTTTCAAGGGATTCAGAAAATGGTACTATTCATTAAAAAAAAATTTTTTTTAACTAAACTACGCGCCCCCGGCAAATATACATTATTTAAAAAAAATTAATACAGAATCATGTTTAGCATTTTAAATTCATTTAACAAAAAACCCATTAAGTTGGTAATCCCCTTTTATAAAAACTTAGGGCTCGGATCGATTTAGCATGATTGGAAAAAATCGATTTCATTGACTAGATCCTATTGATAAGCTAAGCAAATTCTGCTTAAATAGCGTATATTTACCAAAAGTACCATTTTCTGAATCTCCTTAAAATGCTAAACCTGATTCTGTATTAACTTTTAAAAAATAATACATAT